AAAAAACAAATATATGTNATATATCATTCTAATGTCATTCTAATATTTTAGACATCTCTTTTAAACATTTTTTTTTTTAGATTTTTGCATTATCTGGCTTAGTTCCTTCTTTTTCTACATTAAAGAAGAATGGATTTATCCAAGCCTGGTGCTAACTGGGTTAGTTAGTGCAACTGAGCTGCAAATCGCCGAATGCAAGAATAATACGGTAATAGCCCAGCAATTATAGTCCCTTATTGATGATTACTTCGGATTTTTCTTATGTCTCCCCGCGTTACGCTAATTCCAATTACACACGTCTACTTTCACTTTCGCTATTTAAGGCTACAGAATCCTCGACGTGGTCCACAAAGAATATTGCTAAGGATGAAACAATAATGCGCTTCGCGGACTACGTGTGCTGCATTTATTCCTTTTTTTTTTTTTCTTTATCAACGAGATTGGCGTTTGTAGCATCGATTGCTTTCTTTTACGCGCCTCTCGTCGTCGACTTAAATCGCATTCACGGTCGCTTCACGAGACAATTACTGCTGTTTACCTCGCGCTGGATCGTCAACGAGTGACGGAATTTCATCGGGATTCGACGCGATGACTTCTCCTACCTTATTCATTATATAGCTTGTCCCTCGATTTAAATTATATGAGACACGCAATCTTTCGAACGTCCACCAAAATCATAACATCATTGCTCTTTGTCACGGTAACACGCGGAATCTGACACCGTTGTTAATTATTTACAAATAATAACGTATCTGCGCGCCCTTGCGAAATATATATATGTTATACATATGTATAATATGCATATATAGATATTCGCATGCCGCTTTTTTACGTTTACGTACGGAAAAAAAGAAAAGAAAAACTTGTGCGATCTCGGCGTATGTATATATATATATATATATATATATATATATATATATATATAAATACAAACAGCTATATACATGATCAATTTCTTATACCGCATCTTATGTATATATAAATACAGATATGTATATACATTATGTGTATTATATATGTGTGTGTGTGTGTGTGTGTGTGTGTGTGTGTGTGTGTGTGTCACGCTGCATAATTGTGGCCACGTAACCTTACTATTTATTCGGCACATCGCATCCTCTACCTCGTTCTTGCGTACACGCATGCACGCACGCACACACACATATGCGCATATAAACAATATATCAACATTCATGAATTTTTCTTTTTTTTATGATCTATATTAATAATAGCGATATCATTTTTGCGTGTATCACACACACACACACACACACACACACACATACAAACAAACAAACAAACACACACACACACACACACACACACATGTATACTTTCTCTCTTTCTAATGTGGACTATAGAAATTCGTTATTACGTGGCTTCGATTTGTCTCTTGCTCGCGCTAATTTCCGTTCGACGTCGCTACGTAAACCTCTCGAAATCAGAAATTAGGGCGTATTTGGTTATTCGTATACTATGGAAAAAGGAAAAGAGGAAGGGGAAACAGGGGAAATAGAGGAACGAGAATATCCGCGGCGAGATTACCGATTACTCTCGTTACATTCGCTTCTACTTGACTTTGTGCCGGGTGTGAACATTCAAGTTTCACGGAAGTTGTCAATAGATAATAATCGAGCAAAGAGAGATTTTCTCCTTCGCTCGATTTCTTCTCACACATCTCTTTTCTCTCTCTCTCTCTCTTTCTCTCCCTCTCAGTCATGTCAGTCACATAGTAAAAATAACGTTTCGCGAAGTTATAAATAACGTTACAAACTATGGCTCTTGTGTGTCTATTATGTACTAGTACGACAGATGCAAGTGTACATAGTGACACGAACGAGGCGGCTGTATCATTTCCTTTCTCCGCCAAAATGATTTGTACGGCTGTATATTTATAGAGCCAGATTAGAATTTTTCGAATTTAAGTCTGTAACATCGTATTACGGACACTAAATGCGATGAAACGATATACATTTGATTTTATCTATCACGCAAAAAGAGCAGAGAAGAATCTCATTCGGCGAAATGTTTGTAATCGCCTTATTCGTACCACTCTACGTATTTATACACGTACATCGATATATGAAATTACAGTTACGTAGTTGTGGACACGTGGGCATGTAGAGGATACCAATTATGTAATGCCCCGAAATTCCTATTCTCGTCGCGAGTCACGATGAAAAAAGTGCAAGAATCGTGCGCTTGAGATATTAATTTAATAGACTAATTTAAAACAGTAAATATGGACAAAATATAGCGTTAATGTCACTGAATAAAACGGCGAGGTCAAAGATCGAATCGCGTAATCGTTTGTGACAATAATCGAACAAAACTCTTTCGATACTCGAGTATTAAAAATAGTTTTATGGATCGAACGTAAAATTAGTCCAATATGTATAATCATGTATATAATATATGAGCCTCATTACGGCAGAAAGATTAGATTATAATAATTATATTAGGATTATATAAGGACGATTGACAATCAATTAATCAAAAAGAATAGGAATAACGGCCGAATATATTACAATATACTACACGAAACCTCGCTCATTTCACTCTTGACTTTTACTTTACTCGCTTTAATTTCCTTATTTCTGTAAAAAAAAAAAAAGCATGGCGTGTCGATAATCGATATTAACCCTTTGGCTGCGGTATTTAAAAGATTTTCTTTGAAAGACGAGATAGAAATGCATTGCAATCACGATGTAAAAAATGTCTGTATTTATTTTAAAATAGTTATATTTGATAAACAAAAAAAAAGCTTAAAAAATCACAAAAAGAAGATTCATCAAGTATATCGGCTTAAAATTTTGCTGCAATGTCTCTAGCCTTGCTAGATGTGTTTATATATATGTAGCTAAAAAGTTAATCAAACAAAGTGTGTGTATGTATGTATGTACGCGAGTTTGCTCTATGTACGCAATTATACGGAATTTTTGTTCTCTCTTTTGATCCCGCAGAATCTTTTCTAGACGACAATCGCATATGCATACGATGATGTATATATGCAAAACATATCAGCAATGTGTCTATCGTATACGCATTATACCCTCGAAACACGAGCACACAATGATATACGCATATAGATCAAACATTTTCGATTCTTCTAAAACAAGATCGGAATCGATAATTGACGGTGTAAATGAGAAGACTTTGTTTAAAATCTTTCCTCTCTTTCCAACGCACAATTATTTTTTTAATGTCAAGCTAGCAATTTATATATTATTCCTTAATATTATGCGTTACATTTTTCTTTTCTCTTCATCAATATATTATTACAGCAAATTCTTTTAATACACGATACTAAATTTTCAGTTTTGATACATATGTCATTAAAATATAATTCTCTTCCTTCCCTCTCTTTACAAAATTATTATATACAATTATAAATATGCGATCTTTTAATAACTGAATACTATAGCAATATTCGATTTCCATATTTTTGATAGAAACATGGCTGGAATAAAGCAGCTGCCAATTAGAACTGTCTCTTTAAATTTAAATAGTTACTTGATCTATGTGTGTATATGTCATTGGCGCGAAAGCCTTTCGTTATTTTTTGACGTAACGTCAACTAAAGTACGTAAAAAGTTAAATTTAAAGGAAAAAATAACAGATGATTAATCAGATACAGGATATTAAAGTAGCGACGACGAGGGAAATGAATGCAATTATGACGCGTGGGAGATAAAATTCTTGCACATCGAACCCGGGGCATTCGCCGTAAAAATGATCCACCGTGATTGACTGTCGGGTCAGTCGCGTAAAAATTTGTACACGTTACCATCAACGTATCATCGGGGCGCGACGATCTCTCCGAAAGTAAGATGCAAATTGCCAAAGTAAAGTAGATTAAATTTTTACACAAGTTTAAAACGTGTCGTGCGTGCAACGTACCGCAAAATTATACTTGCATGCGTGGTAACGAAGAACTTGAACGTGGCATATTTCATTTATGTGGGCTAGGATATATAGATGTTATTACTACTGCGGTAGTGCGCGTGCCTAAGTACAGAAAAACTAAAAAAAAGTAACTCCATTTACAGTATATACGTTGGTAACGAAAAAAAAGAAAAAAAAAAGGAAAAGTCCATATCCGTGAGAGACCTCGATCGATAAGAAATGTACGTAAAAAACGATGAAAATCCGTGGACGGTCACCCTGTACATATTCGATACATATTTATATAATTAAAACGCTCTTCGAAATACTGTAAAATGTCACAAAATACTTTTCTCGTAAAAAGGGCGCGGCTGAGACTCCTACAGGTCGGGCCAATGATAATAGTAATAAAAAGAAACGAGATTCGAAAATCGAAAGTTCAATAAAAGAAAAAGAATATAACGGGAAATAACGCGGAGATTCTAAGCGAGATGTAAGGAGGAGCTAGGCAAGGTAGTAGCGGAGATTCGAAAACGAATAAAAAGGGGAGAAAGTTAAAAACGATAAAAGTTTTTCTTCTTTTTTTTTCTGTTCACCTAAGTTTTAGGAAACATCCTTAATACTAAGCTGATAACGATAATAATTCACGTCAAGAGTGTGTTGAACGAGAAGAGAATCGTCACTCGAATCACACCCGATGACGACGTTGGCCCACGTTTGCGACAGGATCCGCGCGTTCCTGAACGGCATTACACGCGAATAGGAATAAAATTAACGAGGTAAATGGTTCATACGCACGATCGAGCGCGAGAGTTTCATTCTCGCCATCGTCGTTCGGATGACGACGACGACGACGAGTGTTCAGCACACTCTTT